ATTCTATGATGATAATGACACAGGTTTTAAGCTTAGAATGACACAAATATCAAGAGTTTCTTTAGTTATAATAAAATACAACTAACTTTCATAAGAAATTATACAAATATTTGTAATGTTAATCAATATTGAAATATGCGACGCAATTGGTATAATGATTTGTCGCATATGATGATCATTAATAGATATTTGTTATCGATACAAAATGAAATTAAAACAATTTATATAATATATAATATCTCATTCAAGCATACAAAAATTCACAATATACAAACGCAGTATACACCGTTTTAAAGCAGCTTGGTTCGTTTTCTGTTTGATATGATTCAAAATGACATGGACGCATCAAAATTACTATTTTACTTGCAATTATATCTTATATATAAAATGTAAAATATATTGTGCATCCTAAATCAGTCAAAACATGTATAGAGTCAAAATTTGTTATTTATTTCAGCTATCAACATTTACTTTTATATATTTTACTCTGTTTCAACTTTCGTAAAATTCGATAGATTCGATAGTTCGTTAGCATCTTGCACGTATTCACAGCAGTTTATAGGAAGCGAACTTTTCAAGCGACTTTCAAACGAACAGCACGTACGATACAAATATTACATTTAGATTACATTTAAATGCGCGATAACAAATATTAACAAGAAGATTTAAGTACGTGAAATCTCTGACTTTCTTTCGCGTTTAATGCACTTGATTTTTGAGAACTTGATGCAATCATCGAAGATCTTTTGTTTGTCATGGAAAATATCGACCGAACGTATGAAGAGGCATTCAAGAAATTTTACATATTCCGATAAAATGGGTTTTAATTTGCAAGTAAATTGTTACTTTTGCTTCTTCAATCTAGTAGTTGCAAGTGTAAAATTCTTATATTTTTCTATCTTTTAGTCAAAAGCAATGAAAAATGACCGTAATTTATTTTACGACTAACGTTTAATGGTCCATTGATTTTTATTAATGAGCGGAAATGTTGACCGATCGAACGCCTTCGTACTTGTTTGCATCAAGTCATATAAATCCTGACGTTTTTTTATTTTCCATAAATTATTTCCATAAATTATTATTATCCATAATACATTTTTACGGCGACCATTTTATTTTTGCACACGAGGTACTTCATTTTGCTTGTTCAACTTTGGACGTTATACCTTTTTCAACCTTCTACAGGAAATGGACGAGTATTAGAAGGCAAATGGTTTAACACTAATCGCTATGGTAACAAACGATTGTAGTATGTTGCCGATTGAATACCGGTTCTTTGTTTCGCAAAATTATGGTAAATTAACTCCAGATGAACTCGTGGCCTCGAAAGTATAAAATTTTAACGATTCTACAAATACACTAACTCGTTAAAGTAACTGAAAGTAAGTACGAAGTTACGAATTCGGTTGTTCTCCTGATTTGTAGAAATTATCAATGGTCTTTGGAAGTTTCCTCAATCCCACCCCAAAAATGTAGTTTCATTTTGATATTCGCAAAATTTGTGAAAAATCGAATCTTCCTTTGTTAACCATAGAACGACATTCCTCCGATAGATAATTACGCATTAAATCCTTTCCAATTTTGATAATCTTATCAATCTTAATGTAACCTACGAAATAATTCGTAAGAGAAGAGAGGGAATGATAAAATAATAAGTAGAACGTTGGATCCTTTTCAGCCGAATGTAATTGCACGGTGAGACTCGTTTCTGACGTATAATAATTATCACTTTTTATTATCATTTCTCATACTAAAAAATTCCCATCGTATGCTCTTACACCGTATTACAAATAAATGAGAATATATAAATTCTAAATGATAGAATGGTTTTATATTCTCGTTATTAGATCGTAAACTGAAAAGGATCGAAATCGTTTAATAATGGGTACAATAAAAAAACGTAAACGTTTGATTATTTTGTAAAAAGTTGCATCTTCTTGTACGAACGAGCGAAGAGTTTACTCGTTGGGTGTTTGTTGCTGTTCTTCTGTCGCTGGTTTCGTGTATAAGATTTCGGCGTACTCCGTTTTGTCCTCGTTTAGACGACGTGGAACGCTTTGTTGTTGCTGCGTCAAGTCCAATTCTGCATAAACTATTCCTCCTTCGCCCGTGGTAGGATTGAGTTTAGTTTCTTGTGCACCCGGCATTCCAGGTTGTAGCTGCGGAATTTAAACAATTTTATCAATTTCATCAAAAACTTGCTTTGTATTTGTTTGGGAAATTTCGAAAATTTTACATGGAAATTTATTTTAAGCGTGAGGAACTTTTTTGCGATAATAATTTAAATTGAAATATGGTAAACTGTTAAATTTGTTAAAATAACTATACATATATGCATACGTAATATAATTAATGAGTATATATTTTTAAAAATTCAATAGGAAATAGGCTCATACTTAAAATTAACTTTTGACATAATACAATGAATTGAATGTCAGTGATTTCTTAATTTGTTTATCGTCTGTTGTATTAAATTTAGATATAAAGTAAAATTAAAAGAAAGTATCGATATCATAGAAATTATTGCATTGTCGAAGCTTCTACTGTTACTTAGGAAAAACGTAAAGGGGATCAAATTTATAGAAACGATTAGGATAAACGTAACGTTTGAATATATACGCCACACGTTTGTTTTGAAACAAGAATATTCGAGAATGAAGTCACCTTTTCATCATCGACTGTGACGACAGTTCTCACGGTGTCTGTGTCCGCGCCAGACACTTTGTCCTTGTTGCGTTTAAAGAGGCGGGACAAGCTGATTCTCGATTTCCGTTCACCTCGAGATCCATCGACTTCTGTTCTGGAGTAACGGCCGGCACTCTCCGTATCACTTCTAATTAATACAATTTATTCCCTTTTAAAATTTGTGCAATTGTTACATTTTTATATTACCTTGTTCCTTTAGCAACAAAACAAATTTTGTGAGACGATAATTACATAGACAGTAGACAGAGAAACAAACACAAGAAAACAAATACTCGAAGTGATTATTCTGTAATCATGTGAAATTCCGATAAGCTACAGTGTAATTTCTAGAAAGTTATAAACTTACTTCACTTATTTATATTTTCTTCAAAAAGAATTGGCGCAAAAATTAATAACGATAAACGGCTCATGGAATTATAAAGTGGCGTTATTAATTGAGCGGAACGAATCTGGTGATCACGATTTGCATATCGCAAGGACATAATTGAGTCGAAAACAAGCATTATATGTTGAATAATGCACACGTATTCGATTACGATGCGCCTTTTTCTTTGACTTCAGATGATGTATGAATCACTAATGAAGCTTTAAAGAATCACTTAATAAAAACCATCTCTTAAAATATAGTTTTATCTTTATATATGAAGACAGAACCAGCCAATTGATTACGTTCAACATATCCTTTTGAAAATATTGATGAAAACAAATGAACAAAGATAAAGAAACGTGCATATTATGTACATGTTAAAGATCTGAAACAGATTGATTGTTAACTAATACGTTCAAAATTCACTTGTTCAAAAATGATTTCCATCTTATTCATTATTGTGTAATACAGACAGGTACAACCTAAATAAGTAACTTTCAGTTTTTGTTGTATATAAACGTCATGTATTAGGAAATTTTTGATTTGTAAGAATTAAATGTAATTAAGAGGGCGCAGTTAAAGCTGATTAGTAATAAGCATGCATATGGAGGAAGGGGGGAAAAAGAGAAATGATTAAGCAGGCACGCAAATTATATGATAATAGGCGACAATTTTAATTATTCCGATATAATTTCCTTGAAGAACTTGTAATTACTTCAGAACCAGTAGTAGTATAGAGCAATTTTTTCTTGAATATTAAGTTTAAAGAAAGAAGGAAATAAGTGATTTAATATCAATTTCCACGTAGAATTTATAATTATTTATATTATTTTTTTTCCAAGATCTTTTTCTTATAAGTCATAAAAATAAGCGATTATATAGCCAGTAAATTTATCGGAATATATGTTTATGTGTAATTATCATTTCAATAAAATAATTTTTTTTCCTCGTTACAATCGTTGTTGCCACACGTGACATGAATTATATACGAGGTATTTGTTACATGCGAATTCAATGAAAATTATCTCGGTATCTTCCATAAAATGATGATTCCACGTTTGATATTGGCGTAAGCTTGAAATTTCATGTTTTCTTTTTCCATGAGAGAAGTAGAAAAAAAAGCTTGCCTTAGCCTATCGGTTTCGTCTGCGCTTTTCGATTTCTCAAAACGAAGTAGACTAACGCTTGCTGCCGGATCCGCGAAGTCTTGGATTCTGTGCGATTTCCTGGTAATATGGTAAATACCGACAGATAAATTTGCTTTGAACGGATAATCAAACGTGTCCATTTTTTATTCGACCGTTTTTCAGCCGTTTCTATTTGTTTAAAGAAGTAGAAGACATAATTATATGTAACTACGTTTGAACGGCTTAATTAATAAATTTTTTTCATCTATCTTGTTCATTTGAATAAAGTTTCATATCAGTGTCAAGTAAACGATCGAAGTATCTCTAATCAAAGGAAGCACCAGCAGAAAAAAGAATATTAGTTACGGAATTTGGTGTAGAATATTGAAACACTGGAAGTGCGTTGTGCTACTAGAGGGAAACCATTACAAAACCTGTAGAAAATTATACTCACGACTCGCCAAGGTTCCTAGATGTCGTGTTACCTGTAAATAATCGACGAAAATTCAGATCTCGCTTAATTAGAATCTTGATATTATCGGAACAATGGCACGAATTAGAATTTCTGATTCCAAGTTAAATAGTTCCACTTGACCTGATTAATAAAGTATGATTGATCGATGGACAAATTAATTGAAAAACACTCAAAATATGAATGCACTTGAAATAAATTCAATCGATTCATCGTCGATGTTACAATTTCATCGTGAAACCGATGCAGGTTTAACGAAATTGAAATGCGAATTGGAAAATTATTTACGATGCGATGACGGGATGGCATATTCTCGTGTACGTTCGTGTGTATTTAAAACAAATGTTTTATTTCAAAAATCATATAATACCTAAGTATAATATCATAGCGATGAATGAACTTACAATTAATTACATACAGCTCTTCTATATATTAATTTCATTTGAATTCTTAATTAGATTTACTTCTGCCTATTGCGTTGTATCTACAAGTACAGATACAAAATGTTCATATTCTTTTCTCGTATTCGTTTCTCATATGGTCGCAGTGTAAGTGTGGAGATGCGGCTGTGTTGGTGTAGATTTGTGTGTTCGTTATTTTATTTATCGACCGTATAACATTCAAAATCTCATTGTCTTTTATCTGTTACTTCTTTTTCGTATTTTTTTGTTCGTTTTGTTAAACAGTGATTTTTTAAATTGTTTCTCTTTCTCCTTTCCTCTTCTCGTTTTTAAACTTTAACGTTTAAACTAGTGATCTCTGAAGTATTCTTAAAGTGTTTCCACCGCTGTGATGCTGTTTGCATATTGGGCCCTCGTCACGAAAAGATTTTGATAAAATCAACGTCATTGCGTCAAATTATATGGAATATCAAAAGAACTGAATTTTCCGAGCGTAATCGGTTCTTTTCAATTCTATATTATAATGTATGCTTGTGCTCGTCCTATCGATGATTCACATTCTAAAAATGTTTCAGAGAACACCATACTCAGGTATTCGCGATCGTCAATATTTCGTGATCTTTATAATCATATCTAATAGCTAGACTTAACATAAATATATGTATATATATATAATATATATATACTCCATTGTATGGCCAACGATCATGCTTTCTCATGTTAATATTACACTAAAATCTTCGTCGTTAATTTATTAGAAGTTTTACAAATCTTCAATTTCGCCATTTTGTCTCGTTTATCGGTCGTATCTTATTTAGATTCTACAAAGAGAAAGAAAAAAAAAAGATCCAATATCAATAACCTAACAGCAGCATACTTATATGTATCTTAATACACGTATGTATACGAGTGTAATCGCAGCATGATCATCGTTGCATTTAAATAATTAACCATTACAAATAATGAACAATAGAAATGAATTACAAAATAAGTGGCTTAATATCGTTTAAAATGTACCGCAAGGAATTTTTTGTACATCAACGTATATCCGCGCGTAATATCCTTTAAAACTTCCTCCTCTATATCTTAAAACTCCCTATTTCCCTTTTTCCATCGTTTTCGCGTTAATCGATTATCGTTTCGACGTGCTTTCATTGTCGTAGTCGCGTTGTACGCGGGCCGAACAGGTCGAACACAGATTGTACCACAGACGGCAACGAATGCCCGTCTATTTCTTTCCTTTTCTTCTCTGCCATTATTCTCTTTGCTCCGCACGTACGGTAGCAAGTTCTTCGACAAATTCGTTTCTCGCGCGTAGGACTAACAATAAGACCGAGAGGGGATTCGAGCGAAACGGAGAAATCCTTCGTGTCTCGAATTACCGTGGAAAAGATTCCAGAGGTTTTCAGTGTATATTTTGGCAGTGATTATTTTCGACTCGGCTTCTCGCCCTTTGCAATCCGCTTTGTGCTGATCCTTTCTTACTCCCGTCATATCGTTCTGCTATGATTCGCTGTAAAATCATAAGACGTCCATTTTTGTTCAAACAAGATATTTCATTTTTATTTAACGTTACTGTCACGCGTTCGCAGGAATTTATACTTTGCACACGTTTTTAAACATTCTTAGAATCAGAAGAGATCGCCAAAGATATGCTTCATAAATTATAAGAAATATCCTCGTGTTCGAGCAATTCAAACATTTGCTTTTCTCTTGTAAGAAATGGTTGCCTTCGTTACAACGAATCACAAGGGAAAGATAGTTTCTTCAGATATGAATATGGTAAAATGCTTCAAAATTGTATATAACCTACGCTGTATGTGTGTATAAAAAAATTCGGGCGGCCCTGGTCTCGTTAGTCGTTTGAACGTATCATCGAATCATCCCCTCGCGTGTCTATTATGAGTTTAGATTAACTAGACGCGTGTTTCTTCCCTTTGCGTTAGGCTCTATTACATACACTAATACGTTTAATCGTTCGTACACATAATATATACCACAATAGTTACATGTGATTCGTTGGGAACGCACGAGGACGCCCATTTGTTCTACCAGACGAGACTTTTATAAATTAATTGGCAGCATAAAGTGACTTCTTTGTACAATAACCAATGGAAAGAATGCGTACGATAACTCAATTTAAACAGATATATCAGGTTTTCCCTTCCTCTCCTTAAGTTTGTCCTCAGACTTAGCGGAACAAAAGGTGTCGGAACGTGCGTTGCTCACGGCACATTGACATACGGATGCGGCTCAGCCTCTTTAACGGCACAAACAACGCTTCGACATCGCGAATACGATACAGAATAGTACTTAATTGGCAACGTACATCCACGTTTAATCGATTTACTTTTTAAATAATCCAACGCTCTAGTTTCTTTCCCGCACTGTGTCTCGTCCGATCGCTTTTCTCTATTCACGATCGGACGATGATCTTCTCTTTCGCGTTAAAACTCACGCTTAAGTTGTATATAACCTTATTTCTTTGCCCGATAATAGTCTTCCTCTCAAAAAATTCACGGATAACGACAGGTCGCTCGGCAATTGGAGTGCAAGTGGATAAATAAGTATTCAGTTAATATTTACGAGTTGCAAGCCAAGTGCCCTCGACACAGAATATATAATATATTCATTACTATTATATTCAATCTCGTATCATAATATTTATAATATATTTATATATATATATTTATTTATTTTATATATATATATTTAATATATACAACATGTAATTTTTTTCGATCGTCTTCGCCCGACCAGTTTCTTCGGTAGATTCTTTCCTTTTTCTCTTCTTTTAATTTTTGTCTGTTAAATTTATTACTTGACGCTCACTGTTCAAATTGGCGTTAATTCCTTTTATATGTTAATTAGATCGACGAGAACTCGTTGGACGAGACGATCCCTCTTTGTAAGTGAAAACACGATCGCATATGGAAAAAGTGAAGGAGTGTATGTGCAGAATTCGGAAATGTTTCGTCAACGAGTGACACACACAGGGTTCAATACTCTCGCTTCTTCTCACCCTCTCTTTTCTTTCTCTCCTCTCTCTTTTTTTTACGTTTTTTTTCTATTTTTTCCCTTACTATTCTTAATTTAATAATTCATGTTTACGACGCCGTGGACACCTACGTTCGTGAACTTGTTTCTTCCTGTCTGCGAGTGTCGTACAATATATGTGTATGATTGTGTGCACGTGTATGTGGTTACGAGCGTAGAATCATAAGTTCGTTCCTTTCTTCTCGCGCTTGTCTTCTTTCATTTTCTTTTTTCTCTTTTTCGATGACGATTAAGCTAAGCAAAGATTATCCGTACAAAAGTACAAAGAACACTTATTGTCGACGGGAATGATAATGAAATCACAAAACTCACTAGTCGAAAAGTATTCCAGTCGCGGTTGATGACTTCTGTAGTTACTTTATATTATATGTATATCGTTCCATCAACTTTCAATGTTGTTTTTTGTATTCTTCAACCAGAAACGACACTTTGAGAGCGGACTAACACTCGATGAATCGTATGTACTCTTATAATCAAGAAATTCGCGATCGATAGTTTACGCGATTCGTCTACAAGAACAACTGGTGCTCGATGAATATTCCGTCAAGATTATCGTCGGTTAGAAATTTCCCTCTTTTTCTGAATTCTATTCGCACAGAGGCGAAGGTGTAGAAGTGTTAAATGATCGAACCTGTTAGGAACATTTAAAGGAAAAGAAAGGATTGTCAATGGAGAGAGCTCGGTGACGCGCGAGAACCGACGTCAGGACGTCACGATGGAGGAAGGAAAAATGGACAGCGTCCTTTGTAATCTCGTTAAAGCGAAAAATACTTGCAAATGTTGTTTTTGTCGCGAATGAAAAGGAATCAACGAGGTCTGCCTTCGCCTTCAGAGGGCACTGTGACACTAATGAATCTGGTTGAGCTTATCGAACGTTTTTATCGTTTTTATCGTTACGAGTACATCCAATGATCAGATGATTCGTATCGATCGTAGAGATTCGTATCAAAAGTCATTTCTTTACATTTAAAATCAGACATCGTCTGATGGTGGGCTTTGTTCATCGGTGAATCGACAACGTGACTGTATGATATAAAATTCTGGCTGAAAAACTCTCCTGTAAAAAAGTACGATAGCCGTAGATTGCTTGCAGTGTTTGTTGCGATCTTAAGATACGAAGACGCACGATAAGTGGATGCACTTCCGGCTGAACTGAAAACGTGGCAGCGTTCGCGTGATTTATTTATCGCGTTAACCCTTCGGATAATTTTTTAACTTTTGTTTCATTTTTCCAGTACATGTTTTAAATTATACATATTTTTATAGGAATTTTTGTGTCCATTTTATTCTTAAAGAACGTATCTATCTCATGTGTAAAAGATACCTTTAACATGAAGTCTCGTTATAAAATCGTGGTAAAAAAGTTTCAGTAAAAAGAAGATTAAAAAGCAACGATACATTTTCGAGGAGTTAACAATTGTTAAGTAAAAATTCTCTTGCGAAACGTGCGTAACCATTGTTACTGAGTCACGGTATATCCGAGTATTTTAAGAGTATTATAAAGATTGTTCGTTTCGAACAGTCGTTGGATCGTCGATCGAACGTGCAATATCGATACCGCGTTTATACATAGAAAAAACTATCGCGTTATAAGGGCGCGTACCTATCTGTGAAAAAAATCGTGGTAGAACACGCCCCGCTTCGGGCCAGTGAATCGTTTCGAAACGTACAAATAATACTGTCTCCACTAAAAATATGTCTAAATTACAAAACGCGAGATACGATCCACACGTGTCAGTCAGCACGTGCACGTCCTGGATTAAAAGGGTGGGCGCGTCTAAGAACGAAAGCTACATCGTGGAATGTGTTTGTCTCCTCTTTATCTTTGTTTCTGCTGTTTGAACGTGGTAACGGCGTTATTTTTAATAGATTCCGTTGCTCGTGCACGTAAAGCATTTCTTCTCACAGCGATAATTCACTCTCTCGCGTCGACCACGCCGAGTTGTTGAAAGGGACACGTCCCCGAAAGAGCTTTGCAAAAATTCAGTCGGAAGTTTAACGCGTTGGAAACAAGCAAGTTTTCATTCGTTTCCGTATACGTTTGTTACTATATCGTGTAATTCGTTAAAACGTTCGGCGTTGCATATGTTTAAAACAAACTCGCGGAAAACGAATTGCGAAAGGAAAATTGTGAATTACCAACCGTGGAAAATCTGTGTTTGTCGTGCACGCGCAATTCCTACCTACGATACCTTTTCTCCCTGCTTCCTTTCTTTTTTTCTTTTTGCTCTAGATTTTCCTATAGCCCCCTCCCGCCCCGTTTCTTTTTTTTTTATGTCGATGCGTCCTTTAGAAAAAAACCTCGACTACAAAATTTGATTTGTTCGCGCTAGCATATGAGACATTTTTCACTACTCGGAGAACTCGACTCGTCCTCTCCGTGTCTTTTTTTTTTCTTCATACGCTTAATCACTTTGTTTCAATAATTGCTAGACATCGCGTTCAAGTATACGATAGGTTTCGTTCGCGTCAGAGCGAGACGACAAACCGCAAAGACACAGCTCTCTTTCTCTCTCTTGCTTTCTCAAGCTCAGATCTCCGGATATCGGCGTTCTCCTCCTCTCACGCGGGAAACTCGATTACGAAGATTTTACTTAGAATAGAGTGGTATAATCTGAGGACAGCTCGCAAACGCGTGTTACCTAACAATGATACCTTAGCGATACTTCGATCTTTCAACTTCTCGAGGATACAGAACGAACGAATCAATTCTTTCTTTCAAGTAAATTCTTAAGATAAACATTTGAGATTCCTGTTACCATAATCCCTTGCTTCGTCTTTCTTCCGCTTCGTTGAAAAATCGATCCTCGAAAAGCTGACGATCGTACGACGACGTGTGTGGTTGTACAAGTAGTAACGTGTGAGTAACTCGATCGAAGCGAATTTTTCTCAATGTGACGTGTGTGTGAATGTGTGTGTTGTCGAGGAGAAAGAAAAAGCGGCGTAAAAACCGCCAATTGGACGACGGTGGATCGCGTCGCGAAATCCTATTTACAAAAGATACACGGCGACTGAGGATACCGAATGTTCGCTTTCGCGATTGCGTATCGAGGCATCGAGGGATCGTTCCCGATCGTTGACGAGCGGAGAATCGTGGTTGATCGCGATTCGCGCACGGTCGTTTTTCCGGCTACGAACAGAGCTGCCATCGAAGAGACGGAAATCGTAGAAAAGTGAAAAAGCGAACGGAAAAGTGGATCAGATCTAACGTGAAATTCTCTTTTTTATACTCTGCCACGCGAACGGAGTTTCTCCGACGAAATAATAATACTACGTCACGTAAAATAAATACGCAATAATCGTGCGAAAAAAAAAAGAAAGCAGTTCGTTTCGATAAACTAAAATGAGATTCGCGTATGACCAGACAGGGAGGAACACGTGTACGTACTTTTGGACGAAAACACGACAGGTGTACCTCTCTGCTGTCAATTTCAAACCCTTTGCACTTTCCGCGTATGTTTGCAGTTTCTGTGAATTTAATCCGAAGTTACTGTGTCATTTAATAAGCAGTTTCAGAACAACTGAAAAACATAGCGTGTTCTTGTTCCCAAGATACGTTGGATCGAATTGACATCAATCAAGAGATTTTAGTTTCTTTGAAATAAAAGCTATCGATCGACTATTAAACTCGTAATATCATAAATTATCGTATACTTTAATGACCGCCTCCGCGATCCTCGATAATCTGCATAATTTCAGCCGATAATAAATATCGATCTGACCCTAGGATGACTCGATCCAATTACCTCGACCTAAACGCATCGAGTATCGTGCAACAAGATATATCCCAAAGATGTTATTTTTCACGTGACTGGAGATCGATTTGCAAAGGGTTATCGAACCGAAACGAGGGGTGGCAGGTTATTTCCGCCGCAGAAGAAGGAACGACCGTTGAATGGACCGTCAAACGGATGATCGGTCTTTAAACAGGCGTGTCCGTCTTCTCGTCCTTTTTCGGCTCCTTGATGTCCGTGCGGCCGTTCACGTATTCCGTGCTCGCGTGTATTGGATTCTCCTGGCCACCCTGCGGTATTTTTTCATCGATGATACGCGGGTCCTCGTGATCCTCTTCATCTTCGTCCCCGGGGGTGATGTGCGCCTCGCTTCCGGCGCCGACACCGCTCGCAGCTTCCTCGTCGCCCCGACGCCTCGCTGCAACAAGCAACGCCACGATCGGTCAAGGCAAAAGTGCGTGTGTGGATCCCTCTTTCTTTTTTTTATTTTTTGTTCTGTTCTCTCTATTATCTTTTTTTTTTATTCTTTTGTATTTCTTTGTTTTTTATTTCGGTTTTGTTTGACTCGATTATTCAAGGGTGGCGTATTTTCTTTGGTTTTATTAACGGTTCTATTTTTGCGCTCTGAACGATTGTCACGGGGTTAGTTAGTGGCGTCTCTGTCGTTTCGCGTTACTCTACGTTCCGATCGATTCTCATCGTGCAGGACAGACTGTCTTTTTTTTTGAGGAATTTGCAAACGCGCGAGCTATACGCCGAGGTAAGAGCTTTTCTTTCGTTTGCGCTTTAGCATCACGATAAAAGTTTCTCATCTTGTTTAGATGATTTTTAAGCGATTAATTTTCTACTGTGTTTTTATAGTGTGATTCGACGTTTGTCATACGTACCTCCAAGAAATAGTATAGATAATAGTTTTGCTTTTCTATCTGTCTTAGTGTCAGATACGAAAAGATATGACAATTGCTCAATCTCAAACGTTAGTTTAATCCAAAAGCTGAATTAATTGTCGATCGAATTGTCTATTTTCATTGACGTTTGTTGTACACCGTCGTGTGGCCGCGTTGCTCAGGCGTTTGCAATCGAGCGCGATTTAATCGGTCGTTAGAGCGGTTAATAATCATAAACATTCACAGGCAAGTCATCGCACTAATGTATGTTCCAATCCAAGCAAGGTAAATGTGAATGAACGTGAACGTGGTCAAATTTCAACACGTAACCAGCTAATTATCAGCTAAGATAAATAGTAAAAACATCGAGAATCGTGAAAGGTTCGAGATGGGGTTGGATTGTAAAAAAGGGACGAGCATGCTTGTGCGGTCATAATCTAGGAACAGATTATAGAATTAATAATATAATTAATTAATAATCACTGTTCTAATTGGGCAAAAAGAAAAAATATAGTCACGACGGAGAAGCAAATTGAAAGAAAGATAACATCGATAAAGGGTCTGGTCTGGTTTCACTTCGAACAAATGTCACCACACTTGCCTTCGCCGATTGTTCGTCGTTGCTTGTCGCAAAAAGAAACTCGCTCCTGTTTCATTTGACCCAGCGGGCCTTGAATTTAGAGGAATTCTCGCCGGGGATTTCTTGAACAACGTATCGCAACAGACAATCGTGGCCTGAGTCAGTGTTTTTCAAATAGCTTTCTTCTCCCTTACGAGCCGTTATTCGATCGCGAATGAACGCTTTTTCCCTTCAAAGTGTCGAATTAAATGCTACAGGAATACTTTTATCGAGAAGTTGAGCCAAATATCCGTTGAAAAGGAATTTTTTATCTTCGAAGTTCTTTCTGTCTTTTCTTAATACATGTCTCGAAGAGAATTTATGATTTTTGCTTTTTGGTAGGTCGGAAAGCGAAGAATTTGAAAAACACTGCGCGAATAATAATGAACGGAGCATAAATTAGGCATCGTATTAGTAGTACATGCTGTATGAAAGTCGTAAGCACGATGTGCATGCACGAATGGCAGAAATATGTATGTTTATGATTTAATGAGATCGACTCGATGATATTCATAATTCTGTATAGTTTCGGGTTCTTTTTATTGCTCTCAGTAACGTTTGAAATTTTTAATAAAGAATCTGTTCTAATCTTTAGATTCTTTGGAATCTTAGATACAGAGGTATTGTGTTGCTACTTTAAAGAAGTATAAAAATCCGATTTATATTAAAATCTTTTTAATCAAATCATGTTTAACGATCGATTGGGAATATAGCAACTTTTAAGCAAAAATATCTTTGCCAGAATTGTGTTTATCGACTCATAAACCGATAAATGGATCATTTCGAACAATGAAATTCTGATTTGTTCATTTGTCACGCGAGTATCGATTATACGCCAGATTTCTGGCATGAATAATCGAACTTTAGCTCTGTTTATTCTCTTCTACATACTATCGGAAGTTTAACCCCTTTTTTTTTGATTTTCTAGTACACTGTGACACTGGTTCGAACAGAATTTAAAAATAAATGGGAATCGACAAAATTGTAAAAATCAAATCGCCGTTGAAGTTCGTTCGTATTTGCTTTAAACGCATTTTGTAGTTACATACTTTCATTTTTTATCCTAATAGTTCCTAATGAAACAGCCTTAACGATTACTAGAGTAACATAATCGTTTGATTCGTTTCTAGATTTCTAAATTCTCCAAATTTGTATTAAATTTAATATCGATTATCTAATCGCATGTTAACTCTCGTTACACACTTGGTTTATCCAAGGCAAATCATCTCGTAACATCGCTTTCTATTAATTCACGGCACGTATCGGAATCTATTGCAGGGATCGAGTATTTCCACGATAATTCGAGACCAGGTAACGACGACAATGTGAATGTGTCAGGAGATTTGATTAAAAATGGTCTGACACGGATATGAGAAAAGTGGCGAGCAGACGAGCTGATGATGAACGAGGAACGAGCAATACTTTTAAAAAAAGGGGTGTTTTGCTGCCTGAGGTGACTTACCCCTGGACAGTGTCATGCCTAGAGTACGGAATCGCAAGGTAATTGTTGCTGTTTCTCCTTATTCTTTACTTGGCCCGACTTGCATGCTGTCCTATCGGTAGCGGCACAACACACAAGACATTTGTATACATACAAATATAGAGATATAAATTAAGAAACATGTATAGTTTTACGATGGAGTACAGCTAGCGAAGGTTGTTTGCTTCCTACACACGTACAACCGCTCATGATTTCATTGGAATTATTATAGTGTGCTTATTAAGAAACCTTCTCTCAATTTTTCTAGAGTTTCATAAATCGTTTTGTACGAGTTATCCAACAGACAATTTCAGCAACTAAATTCCTTTATAATCTAATATTACGTAAATGTCTATTATTTTGATAAAGGAGATGGAACACAAATAAGAAAAATTAGATATATAGAGGACAGCTGAAAGAAGAAATTGATGTAGTGTATAAATAACACAGTCGCTGCTGATAAAAAATATCGCTAATATCCTATCCATCGATACAAAAATAATATAAGATCGATTTTATCTTATTGCGTTGTCTGTAACTCGATCGCGAGTGGCTGACTTTAGCCAATTAACTTTTATCTTCCTTCGAGTCTGTGCATCGCTCGTTTATTTACTTTCCATTCATCGTTTATTATATTTGTTATTATCCTTGTCAAATCGAAGTGACAAAAGTACACGAAAAATCGCCAAAAGGGATGGGGAATCGCGCGGTATGAACGAAGTAGTTCGTGTGAATTATTGAAAAAATAGATACTCACCTGCGAAGCACCAGCGTCCGGTCGCACGGGCAAAAATTATTATGAAAACGGTGAGAAGTAGCACCAGGGCTCCAACAACGATGGCGATGATAGAACCGGCATCTAAATCGACGCCTGAAATTTTATAGAAAGTCAAAATGACGTTTGTTGTACAACTTGTTTTTATCGATACAAACAAATTAAACTAATCTTATCATCGACTATTTCGCATGAGATAAATTTCCGCGACTTTTGTATAATATCTTCATCGCGATTGTAGTCTGCAAAGTTTCGAGTTCGAATATGAATAAGATCAAATGCAGAGGACACACGTATATAAAAATATTAAAAATATCGAAAATTGAATTAGAAAATATCGAATTAGAAATCATGCGCCAGTAATTGAATACGAATGCACCTCTATCGTTGAAAAGCCAGCTTAACGAAGCTTTAACATTTCCAAGACACAGTCGATCGAACTTGAATATCTGTTAGAATAAAAATCAAAGTGTCATTGTGTCTTGTATATACTCATGTTAAAAAATGCGTTTCATCGATAATGAATGTACAAAGCAGAGCGTAAATATGTTCGTGTTGGATAAAAAATATATATATACGTAAAAATATACATATATACGTAATGTAACAAGAGTCAACAAGCACTCTGAAGCCTTTGGTACATTTAATGTCTATGAAACTTATAATTCTAATGCAGAAATGTGCAAGAGAGGTCGGTGACGCGAAATCTGTGTTCGATATCGACAAAAAAGCGTTGATTCATGTAAAGGCGATCGCATAAAAATTTAGTCACGTTTATTTGAAAAATACAGATTTGCCATTCATGTTTGCAGTGGTATCAATAACAAACGTAACGTTGTATATATAACCGTATCCCGTAGCGCGGAGTTCCATTTACGTGATCCCTCTGTGAATCTATCGTGTGACTTTCGTATGAATTGATGACACGGTTTGAAAATCGCGACGACGAAAAAAGAAAAAAAAAATAAAGAAAAAAGAATAAGATGTTACAGCTACAGTGTTTGCACGATCTTTAAACAAACAGAGAAATATTACTTGGAGACAAACAACGTTTGGTAGATTAATAAAAATAGAAGATCGTTACGATCCTGCCGCTTCGAAAAATATCGCTGTAGTCCTTTAATATTTCTTTTTCCTTTAATTTTTCACCGAATTCCCTTCATTCGAAAGTATACACAGACCGATAAAATGAATTTAACAAAATAAAAAATATCGTGAACCGACGTAGAGTAGCAGTAAAAATATGGCGATAAATGTTTCGGCTTTGGGCATAGTTTATCAATTACAAAACGTGTCGTAATCCACTATTTTTATGGAACTTCACGCGTACGGAGCTACATCGACTACTTACTACGTATAATAATTTGAAAGAATGACATTACCTAGTGCGTGCATGTGTTCGGAGAGCTTACCATAGAAGTGACCGAACGGCCCTGCGTGAAAGCATGCGGTGAAGGATCGATATGGTTAGAAATACATAGCGCATACGGACACAATAGAGAAAAGACACGCAAAAATATTCTAATTCGTACATATTCGGTGTAATTGAAAACGTAATGACGGCCGTTGACTAGCGCGTGAAAGTGACAACGAATATGACATGAATCGGTAGACAGATGGTGAGTATGCTTGATCGGATGAAATGATGGTGACAAACACGAAATGTGAAAACTAACAGCATGATCGACAGCTACCGACGAATTTCAAATCAATTTTATCGTCTTTCTCTATAGCGATATCGAATAATCAATATTCACCCGACCATACGAATGAAAATTAATTCTGTTGCTATTTAATACTTTTTCTCCCGTCAACATCGTTGATCGTGCATTTTTTTTGTTTTACGCTTGCATGACTGATATTTTTAAAAATCTATTTTAATATTACGATCACACGATTAATGCTTGACATTTTTGTCTCTCTTCGTCTTTTATGTTTCTGTTTTCCACTTTGACGCAGATAAAAGTTCGTCGTGATTTACACGCTACTTTGGTGCACAGTGAGATTAGGTGATTTTTTTTCACGATAATTGAATTCTGAGCGTTTCCGTGGTTTTTACCTGCGGGTTCTGTGGCTGTCGACAAAATGATACGATATTCGTAAGCCCCTTCGTCGTTACGGGCTTCCAGGATATAGTCCTTCTCCGTGTCGGATTTTTGCACGCTGTCGATCGTCAGGATCACGCTCCACGCTCCTCTTCCCTGTAAAAAACAAATTCTTTGGTCACTTAATTTTTCGATCTCTTACCAACCAAACGTTCTCTGATTCTAAAGGCGATTAATTTTTACCGTCATAAAATTGTAAATATAAAGATATCGATATTTTTATTTTTACTTTTGGAATGTTTTCGAAATCGTTTATCTAACGAGCAGAGGCCAGGATCACTTTTGCATTTAAACGACGCTGTAATTTCAATCTCCGACATTCTATGGTCCGACCAAATTCTACCAACTGATATTACGCGTATTTCGATGAATTTTAATTTGATCATATTAATATTATGAATTCATTGCTGAATGTTTAATTTCGTATGCTGCTAAATTATTATTATGCTAAACTTTTCACTAGCTGTGGTGTCCCTGAAAAAATTTCCTTAATGGTAATTTATCTATAAAATTACCAAGCCTTCTGCATTTAATTATTTCAACGACGAAAACAGAAAATCACTTTAATTTATCTTTTTTCGAACGAGACGAATAATTCAACAGTTTTACTTATTTTTTCCTGTTGCCTCTTTTATACAAAATGAGACAGTTTTTGATACCGATAGTCGAATTATTTCGCGAGATTTCACTGCACGAATTTTAGCATCCGAATCGGCCGGAATTTCATTAAAGCTGTTTGATTAGCGAGAAACTTTGCGAGTCACGCAAATGTATAAAAAGCGCTAAGTGCACCGTGAAAATCGATGCTCTGGAATGCGGAATCTTTGTTCCATTACCCTCACTCGTATTCTCCTCCATTTCTCGTTCGTTCCTCAATTTACTCTTTCGCTGTTTTTTCACGAGAAAGCTCCCTTGGCAACTCAAATTCTACTAGCAGCTTCAGTATCTATTCTATCATTTTCTTCATTGATAATTCGATTCGTATCTCTTTTTACGAATTAATCTTTACATACTTCATTTCTATGTATAGCTTTACCTTTTGCTTCGTAGAATTCAATGTGCATTACTATTCAAGCATCTCGAGGAACGTTCAAAAAAATATTCAACATTTATAGCTAGAATTTTCATGCTGTGTTCGTTCGACCGAGCGAATTGAGAGAACACAATCGACGCGAACCTTTTACTAGTAAAGTCTATCAGACTTTCCAAGTGGAAGAATATTTATTTATCTGATAATAGAAGCTCGTTTACGATAAGAATTTCTTAAGACGGTTTCGTACGGATTTCTTTCGATACGTTTCTAGTCTCGAATTAATGCGTGATGTTTCGTATTGATTTATACGTATCTCTGACTTTCGATAGTATTCGTTATTTAGAATAATGTGATTCTTTGATTTTTTAAATGTCTGTTGCAATAATTACAATATCGCATTCTCCATCTTGTTGTATGTTCGATATTACATTTTTTTAAGTATATAATATTTCATATTAAATAGATATGGATCATAATAATAAGAAGAAGATATATGTACAGATATTAATTTGATAGAAGTTATAAGAAATTTCGTTAATTTACCAGATCCACAGCGGTCGAGGTTTCGAGTCGATTGCTTTCGTCTGGGTTACCCTCGGTGATTATTTCATTGTTCACTCGCCATTTGAAATGCGGCCTAGGGTTTGCGTAAACGGTCACGTTCACGATACCCTGGCGTCCAACTACGTATCCAAAACGCTCGATGGTTGGTTGCGGTTGAGGAGGATCTAAAAAGAAAATTTTTATTTTAATTATTCCGCATCTTCCACAGATTTCAATATTCCGTCGTAATTCGCGTCACGGATAGAAATTCCATGCTGAAAATAAAATATTTCGAACATCTCCATATATACCCATGAAAGATTTTTAATTTGGAAAAATAGAAATAAATCGCTGGCAAGCTTACGGTTGAGTAATTAGAATTTATTTAATATCTCCGATTAGAATTTTTATTCATTCCTTTTTTTAAGCTCCTTACGTTTAGAAAGTGTTTGTACTTTCATTAGCAAAGAAGGAGTTTCTTGTTACATTACGTGTTGAGATTTGCAATTTCGTATATCGTTCGAACAATCGATCGCTTACAGAAAACTTGCAGTTGCATAGTAGTTTCCTTAGGCCGGTCGAGTGCAATGTGGCTGGCAACGCATCGAAGGATTTTTCCATTGTCCGTCCAATCCAAGCTACGCGATGCATTTTGCACGGCCAGTGAGTTATCGTCCAGGTTCGAGTCGTAAATCGTAGGTCTTTCTTCGTTGCCAATAGGTTCGTCGTCTAGTTATCATAAAAAGGACACAGAACTGAGTACGGTATAATCTCTGACAAAAAGTTAATTAAAAATCCCTCTATTTCGCCGACTAATTACCAAGGAACAAAGAAACATTGGCCGCTGGTCGTCCGGCTGGTGCGCTGCAACTCACTTCCAATTTTTCTCCTTTTCTATATATATTTCTTCCATCGGATCCAGGACTAGCGTGAAGCTCTGGATTATTCGGCGGTTCTGAAAATCCAGTTGCAAGCATTAATTATTCCTTAGATGCAAGAACCACGTTGAATTTTCTATTGAAAGTCAACCGTTAAAATTGCCCAGCTATGTCGATGCTCGTTAATTTTCCACGGTTCAAGCAGGAGAAAACTTGCAGATCTTTATTTAAATTCGCTCGAAACATCTGCAAGTCTCCATCATGACCCGTTTTCGTCATTTATCTTTATCGACTTTATCTGAAAATAGTAATTTCCTTTCGCGCTACCATCCCCTCCTTCTACAAACCCGTCGCGTAAGCAATTCTCTTAACGAAGATTAATTAGCTCTCGAATTCCCGCACACGTATATTCCACACTGTAATATTTTTCCCTGTACGGGGGAATACTTTTCTCAGACAACTAACGTCGCGAAGTTTTACAACGATTTTCTCATTAATTTCCAGGCTACGCGTAAAAACGACGACGATTAATTACGCGCGCTCTTTTAATTATGCTTCGACTCCTTTGCAATTAAGGATTAGCATCTGATGCATGTGACATACACTGCTGTTTTTAACTGCTATCCGTAACTCTTGTGTTAAAACGAATTCTTTAGCGATTCATTTCAACGTATAAGACTATGATAAGAGTAACTGCATCTTTCTGATGAACTGATTGACGAATATGCCAGAACGATCAGCCGTATAGATTCTTGTGAGAGAAGCTCTAACGTTTTTTATATGTTTGGTTCGTCAGGACTTATATCAACTGTAACCATAGCCTAAGAAAGATACGAGAAAGAGGAAACTGCTACTTCTAGTCTTATTATTAATCTTAACGCGAGTTGTGAAATTAAAATTAGACCTTGAAGAGTGAAATGGATAGAAAATAATAATACATACTGGCTACGATAATTCTCGTAGATGCCTGTGCCTCCGCTCGACGTTCGGTAGTTGTCAGGGTGCACTTGAAAATTCCATCGTGACTTTCCTTGATCTTGGCAATGTGAACGCCGCATTGGCCGGCCTCCGTGCCTTCTCCGTAATACTCGATACCATCTTCAGACGGTTGTCCCTTAGATAACACCATTCCACCTTCTTCGCCAGGTATTTCAACACGGCATACCCGTAGTGGTCTACCCACTCTGCACAAAATTTGCAAACTTTCGCCCAGTCGCACGGCAGTCTGATGTTTTGGCTCGATGTCCACGACTAGGTTCGGTTTCGATGCTGGAACCAAGAGAAAGAATAATTAGATTCTCTGATGAAAATAATTTCAAAGGCATGCTATATTATATCAGGTGAAAATTTGCGCACGAAACGGGACGAATTTAAAAGAATTGCAACGCTGATGGTTTTCACAGACACTAGACATTATGAATATATTATACTATATGGCGAAAATTCACAGCGTAGTATACCTATTATATAAAAACGCGTATGTGAAACGTGATGAATTTAAAGAGATTAAAATTCCGTTAGTTTCATCAGACGTTGTTTCAGAGTCTGCCTGAATTTTTCTCCCGACAGTTAATTTTTTTGCAGCCCGCCATGCAATTGAATTATCGCGCAAAGGAACAGGGTTGAAGCTCCATAATTTTTCTTAATCTCCGCGTTACACGTTACTTCTTACCGGGTACTGTGAATCCTCCGCGTTTGTGGCATTCGCTTTCGAGAACATTCGTTATAATTTCATTGAAACGCGCGGAGATTCACGGTGCATATAATCGGCGAAGTAACGAAGATACAGTGTTTTAGCGAAGAAGTGACAATAAGTGTAGCCGTTTCTAGTGGACGATATCGTGCTATTTATATGCGAATGGAGTTCTTGCGAGGAGAGTTAAGGGAGGTGTTAAATTTATGGATACGTGTCCGCTTTCAATGGCTCGTAACTTATAATAATCAAGAAGACGCGCAATAAAAGCCTGCCTTCATCGACTACGTGGGCGACGAAGATTTAATATCAGCGTCACCTTGAAATTGCACGTCATCCCACGACGTTAATTTTAATTTCCAGTCGATTCGTTGCACGGTATAATAATCATCGTCATTACGCTCGCGGAGAGGCGTAACCATGGTTTTTCGGCTGTGCTTTTATACTTGCGTCGACTCGTGCTTTCGACTCTTCGTAAAGAAAATCGTAAAACTCATATAAGACGTTTCATTTCGAAGAATGAAACTTGCACTGTATGAAAACATTTTATACGATTTCATACTTTTTATATTCTTTGTACTTCTTTTATGACTTTGCTCGTCCTGCTTTCCAACTTCGTGAAATTGATTTCTTTAATCTTAATTCCTAAAAGCCCCTTTTATATTAGACTTTTTATACCTTAATTCCACTTCTACGGCTTCTTATTTCAAATTCTTAATCTTCCGCCATCGTTCTGTACACTTTTACAATAAACTGACGGAAGCGTTTCCTACTTTCTTATACTTCTATAAATAACACTTTCGATCGTTTCATATTCTTCGAACATAATAACGGTATTACATTCTACGGAACATAAATAAGATTTCAGATTCTTTCGAGCGACAGACGTAGATACAAATATCTGTGTATCGTTGTATCGTTTTATCGAGTAACAAAACGACGTGAGATTACGTTTCCCATTTTGCACGGCTACCTCTTTTCCAATCGGTTTTCCCTATTTGCTCCCCACAACGTGGCTGAAACTTGCAGCGCGATCGTTCATCTAAAACAGCGCGGAAAAAAAGACGGGCGAGCTTCGAAGGAATTTCCTTTCGAACCAGCGCACCCCATCCCCATCGCTTTTCTGAAACTTTCCGTAATTGTACTGGTATGTAATGGATAACGAGAACTACCTACAGTCCGCTTGTATCGCAAATGAACAAAAGTTTCGGCGCAAAAAGCTTCGAAAGTATCGAGCTGTACCTGAGCCAGCTCCAATGTCTAGGAAATGGACGAGAGAAAGAGACAGCAACGCTTACTAGGAAAGCGAGAACGTGTAACTGCCACGTTCCATTAGTAATTGCATTGTCAAACTGGTGTTAGAGTTACAGTTTGCGTTATAAGACGCGTTATGGATTCATTCAAAGTATTGTAGCGGCACATGAGTCAATGGAAGATACGAGTCGGGAGAGACTCGTATTGTTGTGACTTGAAGCGTCGACGTTGTTTTGGTTTGCTAGGTTCAAAGGTAAACGAACTCCGGACAAAATATTATTTGTTATCGTCAACTGGAGTTACATTGAAACTTTTTATGATACCACCGGTCGATATAAATAGACGAACGCCTCTGTAGGACAATCAGTATAGCGAATCATTATATAGCGAGTCATACAGTCGAATAGCGAGCGTAGAGTTGAACAGTAGCATCGAGCGAGCGACGATTACGACAGGTATACAATATCTTTGTGCTTATATTTAAAGTGATTCTAATATAATCGACTATCACAATTTTATCACTCGTATCTTTAATAAATCAACACGTTTAATAATCCATCTGAGCATCATTGAGCATTTCAACTTTCTGTGTACATATAATATATGTTTGCAACGGGGCTGTCTTTAGGAATAAGAATTTATGTGGATGACGGCTAATTGAGAATTAGGAGACCGTTTATTGTAGAGTATCGAAATAGTAGAAATATGCCTGAATGTATGTGTATGCATTGTTTACCTTGAGTAATATATTGTAGTTAAAGTTTTTCGTTTCGATAACATTTGATATAATTAAATCGAAGCAGAATTCTCGTAGTATGTTTGAAATTGGGAGAAAAAGTAATCCAATAATGGGTGGATTAAAAGGCGGGCTTTCAGTTTCTGTTTCCATGTTCCTTTTTCAATTGGTCATCGTTCATACTTGTTTAAACGTAAGCTTTATTATGTTCTCGACAGTGCAGTGTATAAAAGCGGTTGCACATTAAAAGAAAACTGGATTTCCCTCGGTTTTCGGCTTAGTTCGTTATAAGCAGTCACGCGTGCTCTTCTGCGCGATGCTCGTGAGCAACGCCGCAGTGAAAAACGAGAAACAGGCTTACGAGCGACTGTTCTGCAACAAATTAAATTTTAGAGAAAATTGGTTCATTATCCGTGCGAACGTTTCACAGTGTAACGCAGTTTGTTGCTATAATTGAATTACGAATCGGGCGGTAGCACCGTTGCCTTGTGAATTTATTGTATAGAGACAGATATAAATTTTATATTCTTCGTTAGATTTGAAGAAAATTTATCCTATCCTCTTAACAATTATTTTGTAAGTTCTTTTATTACTTCTCTTCTTGAGAAACTGTCTGTTTACTACGATTTACAAAATTTACTGTCACTTGAACGCTGTTCTTAAAAGAAATATGAATGCAAATTGTCAGCTATTTAATTAAAGTATTTTCTAATATTCCTCCCAAGCGCTTCTCTGTGTAAAGTTAAGTATGTACAAACACAATCTTCCGTTTCTTTATCGCCTTGAAAATTATACCACGGTTGGTATATCGTTGCATAAAGAAAAACTAACGAGCATCTGATTTGTCGGCAAAACAAAGTCCCGCGCGCGACAAGGGATGACGAAAGATGCCTGTAAGAAGAACGGCTGATACAATTCGTGGGTAGTTATTATTCGATGCGTCAAGGCGAGATGAAATATGATAATCGTTATTCGCGCCACGCCCGGTTTATCATATTTCTTCGGTCGCATTATCATAATGGCATCGTGCACGAGATCGGCCACGTTCGGCTCGATGTGAGACAGGCCGTGTTCCTAACTCGCCAGATTGATGCAGCTTATGATCCCTCGAACGAAATTCGACCTCGTTTCTTGCTCAACGCATTGCCATCTAGTCAATTCATATGTCAGCGGCAACGAATTAGATGTTTAGAATTTTCTTATGTAGCAAATGTAACTGGCCACGCTTAGATCTAATTTGTACGATGATGATAGAGTCACCTCCGTGCCTCCTATGACGCGTTAATTGCGAGAGGGAAAAGGGAAACGAGAGTTGGTAATCGAACAAGATCGCAGTTCTTCTTTTTGATTGAGCTATTACAGGCAAGTGAGCAATAAATCAGAGTGTAACGAGGAAAAAGATTTGTCGTGAGACAAAGTGGATATTTTCGGATTTTATCGATGTAATCGCGAATAGTCGTGCCTCGTTGCAATGCTAATGGAATTTTCGCAAGTTACGTATAGTATACCATACATGCATAATACAAAAATGTTCTATGGTTAGTGTTTCGTAAATAACGTTTACGTTCGCGTTTGCTGTATCCTTTGAAGATTACACTGGGGTTTTGCATACAAGCGTTCTCTCCTACATAAACGTAACTCACGTCCACGTAAGAAAAGCTACGTCGCGATTAACATATAGCGTGTAAAACACATTAATACCGTAAATTACATACGGTAGGGCTTAAAACAGAGGCATTCTCGTAACCGATGAAAAATCATCATGAAACTTCTTCACCGGGGGGTTGAAAAAAGGTATAGAAACGCGGTACTGCAGAAACGACTTTGTTTCTCTGCTTTGATTTATTTGCACCACTTAATTAAATCCCGTCTCTATTCATTCGTGATTATAATCTTTTTACTGTGACGAACAAGAAGGAGCTTTTATTTTGTCCAGTGAAAGAACTCGCTAAGCGATTTCCTTAAGAGAAAGAAACTCCTTTCAACGTCCATTGTTCCATCAGGAACTTGATATGTACCTTAAAAACGAACATTTTTAATCACCTTTATTTCTTTAATTTTTTCTCCTCCGAGCATCTTTCATCATTTTTCTTTTTTCTCTTGATTCCACAGTGTCAATCTTTCACGTAAAATTAATTCTTATCGTTTATTATCTTTCCTATGTTCCTGTATTCTTCGTCGAGAATGTACTCTCCGATGTAAAAAGAAAGTAAAAGAAGAAGAAGGAAAGTAGTAGGAGATTTCAAAAGAAATTGTCGAGCCACTCGAGGTTCTTTCAGTCTATCCTTAAGAGTAGTTATGCTTTCCTTTGTGAGAATCTTTCTTAAAACAGAGACAGTTCGCAAAGTAGCTCTTTCAATCAGCGGAAACGATACGCTCAAACCGTTGAAGCCACGATATCGCGATGCTACCGATCGATTAAACAAAGAAACCAAGTAACGATATTAAAATAAGATTTATTTCGTTACGATTCGAGGATTGGTTTATCGTAACGTAATTTCCTTTACAGCTCGGGAATTCACGAGATTATCTGCTTGATTATTCTTTAGATCGAAAACACACGCTGTAAACGAACGCGTTCGATGT